TTCTGCACTATTTTTTTTTGAGATGGGTCTCACTCTATTGCCCAGGCTGGAGTGCAGTGATGCAATGGCATCTTACTGCAGCTTCAAACTCCTGGGCTCAAGTGATCCTCCCACCTCAGCCTCTGGAGTACTGGGGATGACAGGGGCACACCACTGTGCTGTACTAACTTTTTGTATTCCTGGTAGAAACTGAGTTTCGCCAGGTTGCTCAGGCTGGTCTCAAACTCCTGAGCCCAAGCGATTTGCTTGCCTCAGCCTCCCAAAGTCCTGGGATTACAGGTGTGAGCCACGGTGCCTGGCCTTTTTTATCTTTTAAAATGCTCATTACTCCCATGAAAACCTCAGATGTAGAAATTAATTACATATTTTAGAGTAAAACTATAATCATGTTTTCTTTAGAACTTTTATATTTTATTAAAAATTAAAATGCTCAGAATTTTAAAAGTAGGCTGAGTGCAGTAACTCAGGCCTATAATCCCAGCACTTTGGGAGGCTGAGGTGGGTGGATCATTTGAGCCCAGGAGTTCATAAGACCAGGCTGGACAACGTGGCTATACCCTCTCTCTCCTAAAATTAGCTGGGCATCATGGGATATGCCTGTAGTTCCAGCTACTAGGGAGGCTGAGGCAGGAGAATCTCTTGAACCTGGGAGGCAGAGGTTGCAGTGAGCCGAGATCATGCTACTGCACTCCAGCCTGGGTGACAGAGCGAGACTCCATCTCAAAGAAAAAATAAAAGAAACAGGCCGGGTGCAGTGGCTGATGCCTGTAATGCCAGCACTTTGGGAGACGGGACGCCGAGGCGGGAGGATTGCCTGAGGTCAGGAGTTCGTGACCAGCCTGACCAACATAGTGAAACCCTATCTCAAAAAAAAAAAGAAACAAAGTACGGAATGCTTGGCAGAACACGGCGGCTCATGCCTATAATCCCAGCGCTTTGGGAGACTGAGGTGGATGCATCACTTGAGGTCAGGAATGTGAGACTAGCCTGGCTAACACGGTGAAACCCTGTCTACTAAAAATACAAAAAATGAGCCAGTTGTGGTGGCAGGCACCTGTAGTCCCAGCTACTCTGGAGGCTGAGGCAGGAGAATTGCTTGAACCTGGTGGGTGGAGGTTGCAGTGAGCCAAAATTGTGCCATTGCACCCCAGCCTGGGCAACAGAATGAGACTGTCTAAAAAAGAAGAAACAATGCAGAATGCAACAAACAGTCCCAAATAAACAGTTATTTGGTTAACATATTGTAATCTATCTTTTTGTGCATATACAGTAATAGAAGGATAAAGACAAAAATATTATAGATAAATAGATACATGTCACCATCTGTTTATTGAAGAAAATTAAATTTCATGTACTAGACATCAACAAAAGAAAAGAAACCAATCGAAGTGCTGAAGGAACCAGATAACTTCTGATAAAAGTTTTCTTACCCAAGTAATATTTGTTCTTGGAAGATTCTTCTAAGATAAAGAAAAATAAAAATGAATAATAGGTTATTGTTTTTAGTTTTGTAGTTTCTTTTTGTTATTGCTTCACATCCTCACCAATGTTTGTGTTATTAGTCTTTTAAATGTTAGGTGTTTAGTGTAATTCTACTCTTGTTTAATTTGCATTTTCCTGATGGATTAATGAGGCCAGTATGTGTATTGGCCATTTTGATAACTTTTTTTGTGATGTACTTTTAAAAGTCTCTTCCCCATTTAAAAAATTGAGTCCCTGTTTTTTCTAATTGATTTTTAAGAATTATTTATAGATAACTCTGGATGAGTCCTTTGTGTCATTGTAGACTGCTAGCATCTCCCAGTCTGTGGCTTGCCTTTTCACTTTTTTAATGGTGTCTTTTGATGACCAGAAATTTTTCATTTTAATGAAGACTAATTTCATTTCCCTTTTTTTGCTTATTTTTTGCTTTTACGTCCGTTTACATAATCCGTTTTTATATTGCCAACATAGTAATTTTTCTGTTACTTAAGCTACTGCATGCTCTCATTTAACTTAATAGCTTTCCATTTGGATATAATCCTTTAAATTCTTAGAATATATACAGAACTTTAATACTTCTTTTTATTTTTAGTAAGTACAATAGTTGATGTCTATACAGTTGAACAATTAAAGGTAAAAGCTTTGAAGAATGAAGGAAAAGCTGATCCTTTCTATGGCATCCTTTATGCCTACATTTCTACACTGAACATTGATGATGTAACTGCAAAAGTGGTTCGAAATAGATGGTAAGGATCCACGTTATTTTAACATTCATTTTTGTAAGAAATAATTATTGTTAACAAATTTTAAGCTCTCTAAAAGTTAAAGCTGTTTGTTGACATAACAGGGGTTATGCATTTGAGATAAATCTATAATCAGATAAACCATACTGAAAAGTTTCCATAGAAAACTAGATTAAAATATTATAATTGCCTTTTAAAATAAACTATCTGTATTTCTGCAATTCTAACAAAAAAGATATAATATTGTGAGAAACTTTTAACTAGGAAGACAAATTTGTCTAGTGATTTGGCAGAAAACTATTTTAGTTGCTATGCCCTATAGCAATGTAGTGACAGCATTTTAAAAAAATTATTTTCTGTTGGGCACCATGGCTCACACCTGTAATCCCAGCACTTTGGGAAGCTGAGATGGGCAGATTGCCTGAGCTCAGGATTTCGCAACCAGCCTGGGCAACACGGTGAAACCCTGTCTCTACTGAAAATACAAAAAATTAGGGCCGGGCGCGGTGGCTCAAGCCTGTAATCCCAGCACTTTGGGAGGCCGAGGCGGGTGGATCACGAGGTCAAGAGATCGAGACCATCCTGGTGAACATGGTGAAACCCCGTCTCT